ATGGCCAACCTAACAGCGATGGCCTCCAACCTACTAGCAATGGCCAACCTAAAATCGATGGCCTCCAACCTACTAGCAATGGCCAACCTAACAGCGATGGCCAACCTAACAGCGATGGCCTCCAACCTAGTAGCAATGGCCAGCCTAAAATCGATGGCCTCCAACCTACTAGCAATGGCCAACCTAACAGCGATGGCCAACCTAACAGATGGCCTCCAACCTATTAGCAATGGCCAACCTAAAATCGATGGCCTCCAACCTAAAAGGATGTGGGATTCGGATACAGAACGAGATCTTTGGTCTCGGTTGTCTTCACACAAGTCCGTCAGAGTGGCTCCTCGAGGCAGCTCATGACCGCGCTGTAGCAGTAGAGGTGCCGCTGCAAGTGGCATTCATGCAAGGAGTCCAGGAAGCCTAGGAACTCTTGGTCAGCTTGCAAATGCTTCTAGTCAGTCGGAGTCAGAGTCAAAGGAATGAATGGTTCAAACAGTTTCAGGTTCTTGTTGAGAAAGCTGTGTTACAACGGTCACTGCGGGAGCTCTCTGTTTTGCTACTCTTCAAACTTAGCCACGGTGCACCGCTTCTGTTTGTATATAGAGCATGGTGCGGATTGAATCGATCAAAAATGAGGACAATCGGACAAAGAAACAAAATGAAACAAATACCACGAGTGATAGGTTGGAGACCATCGCTAGTAGGTTGGAGGCCATCGCTCTTACCATTGCAAGAGCCAGACCTGGCAATCCTGAGCAGATCCAAGGGACTGAGGCTTTCTTGCCACCGCCCCTGGCGACCTGATTTCAGTGGTCAAGAGACCGAAACATGTTTTTTCTCATGAAAACTCATTGAAACTCCCTAAGGGCGGAGACTCTGGAAGGAATGAATACGAAAGATATACAAAAAGATCCCTTAGCAAGAGAGTGTCACTGCATCTCTCGTGTGTGCTCATTACAAGGAGTACTTGAGCGTAATGTGCACTCGAGGCGGCCAAAAGCTTTGACACCAGCAAGGGCCAACCGTACAGTTGGACTGCTGCGAATGGACGCAGCAATACTATCCAGGTCCTGGATGTGCGGGCAAAAGTGGACAAAAGTGCCACTGGACCGACGGTAAACGATCAGAAAGCGAGCCTCTGGCGCAAGTGCTGGACCCCGCAATCGAGAAAGCAGCTGTGTTTCCATGGCATTTTTCACCAGTGTAAGGCGCACCGTGCTGAATACCCCGGTGACCTTCTTGGCCAAATGCCAATTCGACGCTGAAAGGCTACAGTCCACAGGCACAGCACGGCAATCACTGCGTTACACAGGTTGTCGAGTGCACAGTGGTGCACTGCAGTGCGCTCCCACTCACATGTCAAAAAGGCATCAACCATGATCACCCAGTTTCCAAACAGTTCAATCACTTCTGAAGGGTCTTGGGTTTGGCGCTTGAGCATCCCTCACAGTAATAAAATAAGAACACGCTCTGTTCAAAGAACCCTTCTTCTCACTCTACCATTATCCTATTTCTGAGTTCCGAGTGCCACGCTTCGAGCAGGTCCTTCAAGGTGCCCTGCTTTGGCACACGTGCACAAACCTCAAAGTCCAAAGCACTCCATCCTAAGAGCGATGGCCACCACCCCAGTAGCGATAACCTCCACCCTAGTGGCGATGGCCTCCACCCTAGTAGCGATGGCCTCCAACCTAATAGCATAAGGAACCTAATAGCAATGGCCTCCACAAACCTCAAAGTCTGAAGCACTCCATCCGAGTTTCTCCCACTTGGGATTCCCTGCACGAGTGATGTGCTGTGCTGGTGGGCCTCAGCTTGATTCAGAGTTATCTCAATTACATAGTCTTGGGTTTTCCCAACGAATTGTGCAAGACCTCCAGTTCTGTCCTGGGCAACCGAGCGTGATGCACTGACGACCATGCAGGTGACCCAACCTGGGTGTAAATTGCAGCAATGGCCAACGGTGTCAAAACAGAACAGAACTTGTTGTAGCTGTTTCCACATATAGCATGCTTGCATATGCCTTGCATGCGGTAAAACATATCATCATGCGCCTGCTTCTGAAGATGTAGAAACTCCAGTTCGCCATGGAAGTCACTCCAGTGCCTTTATACCCTCTTCTGGGCTTTCCACGGTACTCGTGCTCAGGGATGGGAATGGGAAGGAAGCTGAAGGCTTCAAACGAATGGTTCGTATAACCTCAAAGGCAAAGCAGCGACTTAGGTCCGAGTTCTTCTTAAGTTCTCATGAAACTTTCACCGGAAAGTCTCACTATAATAACACTTCGTTATGTTTCAGATCACATACCAAGCCGCTGGTGTGTCAAACGACGCTGAGATCAGACTCGCCGACGCTGTTGAGGTCTCCGGCCACATTTCTGACACCGCAGGACCGAGCGGAACTGTCCCGAGAAGAGCGCCGCCACAGCAGAGCGCTGGCGACGTGCTCCGGTGAAGCTCAAGTGTGCTCGGAAGTGTGGGACTCAACTGCTCACCCTTGACTGCCTTTACTTGTATTCTTGAAATCTGAAGCGGATAGCTATAGCTGGATGGGTTCCTTCCGAATCTCGTGGCCTCACGAAGACAGTGAGCCTGCCAGTACTCCAAGGCCACCTGAAACGAAAAGAACAGTTTGTGTTCCTGCCTCCAGAACCTAATAGCGACGGCGCGATGGCCTCAAACCCTAGAAGCAAAAATGTAAGAAACATGATCCTTTATAAAGTTAAGGTTGGTTGAGCTGACAGCCCATTCAAAAAGGCGAGCCGAGTATCACAGGGTCATTAAGAAAACAATAGAAAACACAAGTTTTCACAGTCTGTTCTTTCTGGAGCATAAAGGAATACCCATCACCTGTTCTCTTTGGCCGGCCAAGGAAAGGAGGCAACACTTGTGACGTTGTTGATCCTCTTTGCATCTTGGACATCTTCAGACGGCCAGCCCAACAGCGCGGCCGAACAGCGGCCTCGTCGTCCGGGCGGCCTTCGGAGTCTTTCAGCTCTCGGTAGGGTTTTTTGGTGGTGCGGTTCACGTCTTCACCTCAAGTCGACGCTACTAGGAGCAAGGACGCTACTAGGGGCTCCTGGCCGTACTACTAGGAACAATGTTCGCTACTAGGTACAATTCGCGAGTCATGTTGACACACACCGTATGTCAAACCATCAAGTCATGGCCATTCATGGAGCGTTCAAAAACATGTCACTTGGCTTGCCAAACTCGTCTCCGGACTGGGATGCTGAGCTCAGTCCGGCCAGAAACATCGAGAGGAATTCTTGGGAATCCTCACCAGTACCGATGGCCTCCAACCTAGTAGCTTCTTGTTCCTAATAGCAATGGCCTCCAACCTACTAGCGATGGCCAAGGAGGCATACAAAGTGCAACCAAGTGCAAACTCATGGCTGCAAGATTATGCAAAAGTTTGAATACCATCCAACGAGGGTTTTATCTCGCGATTAAGTGGAGGTGTAAGGTCGCAGTGAGGTTGGAAACAGCAGAATGAAAGGTCATGATGTTCACGGTAGTGCTGCAGTTTGCCCTTTTCTTGCAGCAGCCTGCCCAAAGTTCAGTCTAGGTGTTGCTTCATTTTTTTGCATGCAAAACTTGTCAATGTCATCTTTGGCCCTCAGGCGGACTTGGCTCAGGTTTCTTGGCCCCATCCGCTTCCCGGGCTGTCATGGCGTAAAAGCGTTGAATTGCCCACTGCCCACGCGAAGGTTTTCTTGTCACTTGGTTTGTGGATGATCTCTTCATCTAGTCAAGGGGAACTTTGTCAAGGGGCTTAGCAAGTTGCAGACTCTTCCAGTGCAGCCATCAAAGTATCTGTGATGGGATGGCTCTACCGGGGCAAGAATGGTTGTAGACTTTGGGCTGATGGGTACTGGCCATATCCTTAGAGATCCGCATCCCAAAGGTGCCTTCCTCCAAGAATCCACAGCCTGAAGACACCGTGCACATCGCTATTAGGTGGAGGCCATAGCAAGGGTTTTGGTTTTGAGAGTCGCGCTTCATCCATGAAATTGACTGGGCAAGACGGACATGTCATGCTCAAAAAGCAGTGACGCGGCAACGCAGCATATCACGGAATGGCTACCCCAAACGACCAAGTTCCGCAAAGGGGACTTTGTCAGTAAGCAAAGGGCATTGAGTCACTGGGCGTTTTGAACCAAAGCGATGGCCTCCAACCTAAACGATAGCCTCCCTAAGAGCGATGGCCTTCAATAGACCGATGCGCAGGCTGCATTCTTACAGACTGGGAACGGCCAAGCCAGAAATTGTCTGTCAGAACGCCTCGACAGGACAGCACTCTACGATCAGGCCAGTATCTTTGTAAAAAATAAAATAAAACCCTCTGACAGCAAGCAGACGGGGGCTGCCGTCTTACTTGCCTAGCTAGTGCTGCACCGAAGCCAGATGAAGCGAAAAAGGCAAATCATATGTATCTGGACCCAAGCAGGTTGGAGGCCATCGCTAGTAGGTTGGAGGCCATCGCTAGCAGGTTGGAGGCCATTAGTAGGTTGGAGGCCATCGCTAGCAGGTTGGAGGCCATTAGTGGGTTGGAGGATACCGCTACTAGGTTGGAGGCCATCGATAGTAGGTTGGGGGCCATTATTGGGTTGGAGGACACCACTATTAGGTTAGAGGCCATTGCTAGTAGGTTGGAGGCCATGCCAGCCAAGCTGCGTAAAACGAATTCCATCAAACATGTTTGATTTCACGGCGTGATTTCGGTCTTCTCCTGCTGTTTCCACCCGGCAAACTGCGGCTTGAAGTCTGAGAAGATCCGCTTGAAGTCCCTTGGGGCCACCACCCCAGAGCCTCAAGATGTCTCCGACGATCGGGTTGACTTGAAGCACCGCGGCGTCGCAAAAGCGTCCTAGTAGCGATGCCAGGAGCCCCTAGTAGCGATGCCCTTAGTTCCTAGTAGCGTCCTTGCTCCTAGTAGTAAGGCCAGGAGCCCCTAGTAGCGTCCTTGCTCCTAAGAGTGATGGCCTCCAACCTATACGACAGCGTCGAGCGCAGTTCTTGGCCTGTTTCCCGGGCGTTGTGAATGTCTCGTAGAAGCTCGGCGAAAGCCACGGCCAGTTTCCCGGCCTTAAGTCCCGAAGTCAAGCATCTCAATCATGTATAATATATGTTGACTAGTTTCACGTTGCACTTTTCGGTCTTGGCAATTCTTATCAACGGCACTTTCCAACATCGCCAAGTACCAAGGCGTTGGCCATTCCAAACTTGGTGTTCAGATTCACATCGAATTTGTACCTCATGCAGCAATGCATCCCCTCGTGTCTCATACTTCAGCGTGCAGGCGTTGGTCATGTATCGTGTCGCTTTGATCCCTCAAGAGAGCCCAGGAACATCCTTCTGCAGTGCAGTTTGCTACCGACTGGTGTGATGTCGCACTCTGACTTGAAGTACTCCGGAAGCAAAGGCGAGTGGACCAAACCTCAGCACAAGGTCTTTGTCCTGCTGCTACCACTACCGCTGGAGTTGCTTTGGCTTGTTTTGCTCCCCTCGGACCTCGGTCCACTACGACTACTAGAACTCAACTGGTAGCAAACTACCCCCTTGCTACTGCTACTACTACTACTACTACTACTACTACTAGCGATGGCCTCCAACCTAGCCAGAAAGCCTTCTTTTGAAGGTGTTAAGTTGTGGCGTCAGCCACTCACAGCAAATGTGTCCTTCGGGCTGTTCGAATTGAAGCCACCTCAAAGGATTCGCACAAACTGAGGCACGTGCATTGAATCGCCGCGTTCATGTAGCACGTATTGCCTTGAAACGATGTTGCACATCGCTGATGAATTGCTTCATGTCAATCTCTGTCCGCCAGGGCGGCTCTGGTAAACGTGTAACAAGCATCATGCAGCTTCACTATAATGCCATCATGCAAAATCCGGTTCCGCCAAGGCACCCAGGTTCTGCAACCCTACATGGCCATGGTTCTTCCCGCTCGGGAGGCCTGCACACTTCAAGATATCTGGCTGAGATGCTTTGGATCGCAAACTTGACCTTTGCTTTCATAGAAACAAGCTACTAGGAACAAGTGCCTCGCTACTAATAACAAGTGCCTTGCTAGTAGTAACAAGAAGCTATTAGTAACAATTGCTTCCTCAAGACGTCCAACTGTAGAGCTGTCTTGGTTTCCAGGCGGTGGCAGTTTGGACGCAAGGCAGGTGCACTGCGGAATCTTAGCAAGAGCCTCAGGAAGGGGGCAAAGAAAGTAACAATGGCAAGTACTTTCGTCAAGCACTGAAAACTCAGGGTGGTCAAACCAGTCAAATGGGTCTGGTTGGATGGCACGATCGGTTTTTTATTATCCAGGAAGTGCAACGCGTGCAGAGTTTGACCTCAGCAAGGCTATATCTCAGTTGTCTGAAGCACAAGTGCTTCTGGAAGTTGATCGACTGCAAAAAGGATTACATATCTGTGTATACAAAACACCTGGGACCGAGCTTTCATTCAAGTGTCTCTGAGACCCTTGCGCTCATCCACCTCTGCAAATTCTTGGTCTTGATGGACTCTGTGGCAAAGTACCTCGAAACGCAAACACATAGGACTTAGGACCTACCATGGTAAATCCATTTGCGGGGTTCACCTGCTTAAATGAACATCCGTGGGGCTCTTGCAAAGTCAAACAAGTTTGATCATCTAGATTAGATACTGTTCTTCAACATGACTTGGACCGACTTCAGCATGCATTTCTGACTTCAGCACCAAATCCGATTCTTCAATGCCGTGCAGCAATCGCGCTGCCTCCACAGTCAAGTTTGGAGAATTCTCTCAGACTCCAAACAAGCGAAGAGAATGGCCTCCAAGCAAGTAGTAACAAGTGCATCGCTTCTAGTAACAAGTGCCTTACTAGTAGTAACAAGAAGCTAGTAGGAACAAGTGCCTCGCTACTAGGAGCAAGAAGTCTCTGACTCCTAAAAAGCGAAGAGAATGGCCTCCACACGCAAATAGCAATGGCCTCCACCCTACTTGAGATCCAACCTACTTGCGATGGCCCCCCAACCTAATAAGAACACAAGCAAATTGATAGTTCAGTGTGATCAAAGAAGGAAAACTCTTCGATGTGCCTTTCGGAAGGCATAAGGTTTATCCTCACCAAACTACTGACCATTGCAGATCAGATTTGTAATTGTGTTTTGTCTGGCAGGTGCAAAGTCAGGTTTCCACAGCTGTCTAAATAAGTGTAAGGCTTTAAGAATGCGCAAAGCACGAAGCACACGAAGCACGAAGCGGAGGGTCAGCTCTCGCGTGCCCGTCAAGAGCCGCAACGGTTCTGGGTGGGTTCCGTCGGCCGATATTGCCATGACAATGCCCTGTGTTCCTAGTAGCTTCTTGCTCCTAGATATTCCGAAAACCGTTTCGGCACGATGGGTTGGTACTCTCTGTGTCCGCTGTGTCCGTCGCATCCTAGGCGTTGTAGCGCTTTTGCTTCGTTAGGGAGCTACCCTTATATTGGACATTTGCTTAAGTGTCCCTCAAAATCTAGGAACCAAATGAATGGTGCGGGAGCGTGAGCTATCCTGCCTCCAGTAGCTAGTAGCTACTTAAGCTACTAGCTACCATTCTACTTCTACTAGCTACACCTCCTTTACTAGCGGCCTACCCCCCCCACTTACCAAAGAAAGTTCACCAAAGAACATGACAAGTCCCACCTCTTTAGTCTCGCTGGCCAGGGCTGTACGACTGATCCTCAACCGAAGGCCCGCGAACAGAAGGAAAAAGAAATGTGGACAAGTCGAGCACGACGGGCAGTACAACGCTGGAAGAGATGGAGCAAGGTGAATCTGGTTGTTTCAATGATTCTTTGCTACTGAGTGGATTTTTCCTCCACCAAGGCCCTGGCTCGAGCGTCCTCTCGAGCAACATGATGTTGCCCGCCTGCCAACTTCTAAGGCAAGATGCAAATCAAAAAGGGTGATCGGCGAAGCCTTCAGTATGACTATGATGTCAAGAAAGGGAAGAAAGGTCTCTCTGAAGATCTGCAAAGCCTTCTTCGATAAAGCTATCTGTCCTGATCCGTGCGGCTGATGTGCAGCCGCAATGGGTACATCTCCAGCTCCATGTGACCATCAACTTCGATGACCTGCCCAGTGGGTTGCTTCAGAGAATCAAGGATGTGAAGGATGGACAAATGGTCAATTTGTTGTTGTGCTTTTCTTTTCTTGTTTGTGTGTTCCACTTTATCTTTAAACAGGTTTTTCTTGCTGCCTTTCTGCGTCTTCAGACAAAAACAAATTGAACATGGGAAGAACAATATTACAAACAGCACAAAGCTTCGAAACAAAAACTCCGCCTTGCGTGGCAGCTCAATTCCCTGGAGGTCGTACCAAGCCACCAAGGCACACCAGGCGTGCTTCTTGACCACCTACGTCCGGCGACCGATGGATGCGAAATGGTCCAAGGTCACATCCCCCGTTCCTAGTAGCGTCCGATCGCTCCTAGTAGCGATGCCAGGAGCCCCTAGTAGCTTCTTGCTCCTAGTAGTAAGGCCAGGAGCCCCTAGTAGCGTCCTTGTTCCCAGCATACCTTCGAGTTTAAGCCGAGTGGGAGAAAGAATGGCAAGTCATTTCTTCAGGCAACACCTTTGATGCTCAGTTGGTCCTGTGATGGCAATCTCTGCATTCGTATCCTCAACAAGGCTAGCTGCCCAGGCCCAGCGCAGCTCGGGCGCTTACTTTTCTGCTAAAGCTCCGCGTGAAACGGCTCTTGGGGCTCGTTCCCCGCGGACACATGTGGCCCAACTAGTTAGAACGAACGCCACGAACTGGGCAAGTTCTTGGGAAAGCTCAACTGTCCTTTTTCGCACAAAAAGGAAATGTACTTCTGATAGAATCGCTTCTAGATTGGAGCTAAAACCTGACAAATTGCTTGATCAGTTCTAGCCGATTGGAATTCACATCCTGTCCCAAAGAGGTTTGGTGGGAACAAACATGTAATTATGTAATTATTCAGCTTCAGTTTCACGTTTCACCATATTTCACCTAGGACTTCACAACACTGGCCTTCAAGCTGTAAGTGCAGCGAATCTTGCCCACTCTCTCGCCAAAGGGGTCGCCACAGTTTTGTCTGCAGCGGAGCACTTTGGGCTCAGCTGTACGCAGGCTGGGGCTACGGCTAGTGGGAGCTCCAAATATGACGCATCTTATCACGTTATCACTACTTAAGACTTATCTTTCTAGAGCAGCCGAAGTAGAATGTCTGTATTTGAAGCTCTCCAACGCTTGACATGGGCGGCCCCAGGCCCAAAATGTTCGGTGACGTTTGGCGCTTTTCGACTTGTGGAAGCCAAGAGGCCTCATGGTCCATGAGATTGGCTGTGAGCAAACGTGGAAGATCTGATTAGATGAAATGCGTCAAAGAAAGAATCGGTCCAAAGATTCAAATCCTTACACGTCAAACACAAAAAACGTAATGCATCCATCCTACACGCCCCACGCTCATCACCGAAGCACTTGGCTGCTCTCAGCCGATGGAATTCCATGGTCTCATCAAATGGTTCAAAGGGCCCTGCACAACGTTAGCACGAAAGAGAACACAAGGCACATCGTTTCAAAAACGCATAGAACTGGTGGAAGTTGAAACGATGTGGTAGGTTTTTCTGTTTGGTCAACAAGGATTGAAACAACCCTACTGAAATGCAGAAAATAGTATGACTTTCTCAGGTTCACAAAATGCCTTTCGCTGCAGTGCATGCCTTTCAGAAGAATGGGGGGCCTCTCCAACCTTAGTCTTGACAGCTTGCCACACTGGCCTACCTGGATCGGCCCTGACACATCTAACATCTAACGACCCAAGCTAAAATTAAAGCCGTATCTGCGTCTAAAGAACCTATTTAACAGCTTCAAACAATGGCTGTTCCCTTTCACTCTGTGCATCCCTTTCACTTTTGCATCACTTTATCGTCTTGTGGAATGAGATCTCAAAGTGGATGCATTGCTCATGCATGAGTGGTCCATTGTTGAAGCCACAGCCACAAGTAGTTGCAATCCGCTACTGTGCCGTGCAACTTGGGCGTCACTTGCCAGGCTCTGCCTTTTTGTTCCATAAACGCCTGGCTTCCTCGGGTTCCTTTTTTCTTCACGCCAAAATAGGCCAGATGCATTGCATCATTGTCTGAGCAATTGAGCTCAATTGTGTTGTCTTTCGATTGGCTTTAGGCTTGAGGACCACAAGCCGCTGAAGTAGGTGTCTTGGGGGTCCTTGCTGAGCCGATTGCTTTTGGGTCCGTGTTGGTATGACTCCAAATGTATCTGTGTCCACCCTTGACAATAAGATCCTAGATGCCTGGAGACCGTTTCTTTGAAAACGCCAGTCGCTTTCTTCAATCCTCTTCATCTCATCTCTTCCGAGTCTCTTCGTGGTCCCTGAGTCAGGGACTTCCAGAACATAAGGTGCCTTGCTTGAGCGCACGTCCAGAGAATCCTCCTTGCACTTGCACCAGCTCCTCGCAAATAATGGGGCAACTGAGCAGTGCAACAGAGAGAGAGAGGGAGAGAAACCCCTCACAAATCTGAAAGCAAGATCAAACAAACAAGATTATAAGATAGCAACCAAAAGGAGAGGTGACCAGCAACCGATCACCGCCAAAACGACTGGATGCGGCAAAAAAAGGATTCAGAAAATGGCGAAAGCCAAAGGGCGGTTGCGACAGCTCTTGCTACTCCTCGTTACGCAGCATAGGATGGGCCTGCTGATGCGCCAGCCTGCACAGCTGGTCGATATCTCCATCTGGCACCCTCAGGCTCGGGCTCGCCTGGTTCGAGTTTGTCTGCCAGCTTCACGAAATCTTTCCTCAAAGCGTGGCACTTGTTTCTACTAGCTTCTTGTTACTAGTAGCGTGGCACTTGTTTCTACTAGCTTCTTGTTACTAGTAGCGTGGCACTTGTTTCTAATAGCTTCTTGTTACTACTAGTAAGGCACTTGTTTCTACTAGCTTCTTGTTACTAGTAGCGTGGCACTTGTTTCTACTAGCTTCTTGTTACTAGTAGCGTGGCGCTTGTTTCTACTAGCTTCTTGTTACTAGTAGTGTGGCACTTGTTTCTACTAGCTTCTTGTTACTAGTAGCGTGGCACTTGTTTCTACTAGCTTCTTGCTACTAGTAGCGTGGCACTTGTTTCTACTAGCTTCTTGTTACTAGTAGCGTGGCACTTGTTTCTACTAGCTTCTTGTTACTAGTAGCGTGGCACTTGTTTCTAATAGCTTCTTGTTACTACTAGTAAGGCACTTGTTTCTACTAGCTTCTTGTTAAGCTAGCAACTGCGAGCAAATATCCAACGAGTCGTCAGAATGGTAAGAGTCGGGGCTCGGGGTGCGTCGGGAACCGGGGGTTTTTGCGACGGTACCTGTGCAAAAAACGCGCCTGTACCGACGCAGAAAACGCAACTGTTGCAAAAAACGTGCCTTTGTTTCTCTCTGGAATTACCCCGCTTACTGTTGCAATTAACGCGCCCCCCTAAGAGTCGTCTGGAAAACTCAGCGGTGCCCCGCGCGCCCGGCCCCGCCCACATCGCCAGGCATCGACGTCGTTGGACTCTGCACCCATCGCCGCCAGGCGCGCTGCCGTTCTTGCTCCGCCTGGGCTGCCTGACGGTACAAGGCGGTGTCCTGACGCAAGGCGACGGCCGTGTCCTTCCACACGAAACTGGCAAGAGCTACCAGAGCTACCAGTTGTTGCCAGAGCTACCAGTTCACGTAGAATCTCTGTTTGGGAGCAAACCCTTCGAATCAAGGACTTTTTTTAATCGGCCCAGATCTCAAACGAAGAAACTCTGCGGTGTCCGCACCCGTCACTAAGATCACACCGACGGAACGAGGCTGACCTCCTCTCGAGAAGTGGACGAAGGCTTCGAGGCCTGGGACAAAACGGATCTTAAATGAGCGATGCTTTCGTTCGTAGCTTCTTGTTACTAGTAGTAAGAATGCTCCTAGTAGCGATGCCAGGAGCCCCTAGTAGCGTCCTTGCTCCTAGTAGTAAGGCCAGGAGCCCCTAGTAGCTTCTTGTTACGTTCGTAGTGATGGCCTCCAAGCTAATAGCGATGGCCTCCACCGTGCGTAGCTTCTTTCTACTGAACAGACCTGCTGCTGAACAAATCATTGATCAGACCTGCCTCTGTTTGGTCCAATCTCAGGGAGATGCGTCCCATCAAGCGGGGAAGTTCGGGCATCTCCTGCCAGCTCTGTGCAAAGGCATCGAACTGCTTCCTGGAAAATGGGTCTCCCAAAAAAGGACATCTTTGTTTCTAGGAGCAGTGATTGAGATATGTTGAGTCCATTCCGGTAGTTGTGTCACCTACGGGTAGGAGGTAGTTGTTCACACCTGATGTTCGACTTCGTTTCGACTCAGGTCCTCTGCTTCTGCAGGTGCCGCTGCTGCCGTTGCCCGGACTGCGTCGGCCGGCTCATCCGGTAAGATGGAACCACGCCTGTGGGTGACCGAGACGGCTCGCCCGGCCGAGAGGCCCTAAACCCCCGAAACATGTCTAGAAGCTTCTTGTTACGAACGTAGCAAGAATGCTCCATTCGTAGCGATGCCAGGAGCCCCTGGTAGCTTCTTGTTAAATTCATATCGGCCTCCAAGCAGCGATGGCCTCTATCCAGTATTTTCGAAACGGCTTTCGACTGCGGTGACGTCTCTCATGGCCATGTGGGGTATCGAGCTGATCCGAGTCGCTAAGAAGCCGACTTGAACATCGAGATGAACAAAAAAAAATGACTCCGTAGTCATTCATAGCTCTAGTTCCGCTGTGCAGTGTCGACTCATATCCACTCGTGAGAACTGAACAACTCAGTTTACAGCCGCTCAGGTGGGCCTTCTCATGGCTTCAAAGGCCGAGGCACCTATCAAACTCAAGTCAGCCCCTTTTTGACGAAGCTACTAGTAGTAAGGCCAGGAGCCCCCTAGTAGCGTCCTTGCCCCTAGTAGCGATGCCCTTTGCTCCTAGTAGGGTCCTTTATATACATACATATATAGACGAAATACAAAGAAACAATATCATCTGAAAGAACTACACAACTGTGTGGCCAGAAAGCTTGCCAGGAGTAAGGTTCGTGCTGTGTTTTTTAGACAGGTATTGATCAACCTATGATGAATGGTGATCCTGATAGCTTCTTGTTCCTAGTAGCAAAGCCAGGAGCCCCAAGTGATCCAAGTGTACAAAGTCCTCAACTCATGAAAGTCGTCACCGTCCAAACTACCCAAGTCCCAATTTACCGGAACTACCGAAGCGCCTGCACAGAATGGCCACGGACGATCCAAAGAGCCAGTGTGGCTGCAGACACAAAGCACATCATTTGTGTTAACGCAGACTTGGTCCCCTTTCACACGTCTTTTCTAGAGGGACACGAAAACCTGCGGCAAACCCGAATTCCGATACCGGTTCAAAGGCGACAGCTACTAGGAGCAAAGACGCTACTAGGGGCTCCTGGCCGTGCTACTAGGAACAAGAAGCTACGAACGGAACAAAGGGCATCGCTACAAAAACGAGAAACGGAGAAAGGCTTGGAGTTGCTCCAGAGAAAACTTCGACCCACACAGTTCGCACGAGTTCCGCGTTTCACTCGCCGGTTCCGGTCACCCTGTTGTTTCGCCTCATAGTCGACCCCTTCCGACAAACCAATCCGAAGAAAGTCACGAGCCTCGGGGGCTCCCAAGGTCGCTCTGGTTAAATGTTGAATATATGTTAGTAGTAACAAGTGCCTTACTAGTAGTAACAAGAAGCTATTAGAAACAAGTGCCTTACTAGTAGTAACAAGAAGCTATTAGAAACAAGTGCCTTACTAGTAGTAACACGAAACTAATAGAAACAAGTGCCTTACTAGTAGTAACAAGAAGCTATTAGAAACAAGTGCCTTACTAGTAGTCACAAGAAACTATTAGAAACAAGTGCCTTACTAGTAGTCACAAGAAGCTATTAGAAACAAGCGCCTTACTAGTAGTAACAAGAAGCTATTAGAAACAAGTGCCTTACTAGTAGTAACAAGAAGCTATTAGAAACAAGTGCCTTACTAGTAGTAACAAGAAGCCATTAGAAACAAGTGCCTTACTAGTAGTAACAAGAAGCTATTAGAAACAGGTGCCTTACTAGTAGTAACAAGAAGCTATTTTTGGAAACAAGTGCCTTACTAGTAGTAACAAGAAGCTATTAGAAACAAGTGTCTTACTAGTAGTAACAAGAAGCTATTAGAAACAAGTGCCTTACTAGTAGTAGCAATGTTCGCTACTAGGGGCTCCTGACATCGCTACGAACGGAGCATCCTTCAATAAAGATTGAACTCAATAAAGATTGAATCTATGTTGAACTCCAAATCACTTCAAGTCCAATTCCTTCAACAGCCTCAGTCTTCCGCGTCAACCAAGCCAGTGTTGTCGATGGAAGGAGGGCCCTGCCAGCGAGCTATCATTCAAATTTACAATAAAAAAGACTTGTTAGTAGGTTGGAGGCCATGGCAATTATCAGTGAAGTGTCCCTAAAAATCTCGGAGCATGAATAGTGCGAGCGCTTGAGCTATCCTGCATCCTACCTTCTTGTAGCTTACTTAAGCTAGCTACGGGTACCTCTTGTAGCGGCTCACCACCCCAAACGTTCGGTGCTCCAGAGCGCTGTCGGCGCTCACAGCCTGCTCACGTGAGTTGGTCTCGGTCGAGGTAAACTCCAACCTAAACTGCAAAGCAGCAAACAAAGCGCAGTTTTTCTCATCAAGAAAGCTATCTCAAAAACAGCAAACATTTTGTGGCTTCAGGGAAGCAACCAAGCAACTAGGTTGGAGGCCATCGCTATTCACAGGTGTGGCAAGGGGATAATGACAGTGGGGGCTGCGAGACCTGGGCATCCAGCCATTGCTTCCACCAACGTGCTGGAATTAGGTACCTTCAAAAACGGTGTCCCTCCGCAGTCCACCAGGTTCAAACAGTGTATCTCTGCGCATTTTGCGTTTCTTGGCAACTCTTGGCGCACCACACGTCCCCGACATTTCCGGGCGAATCCGGGCTGAACTTGTCGTTGATCTTTTCAATGATGACCCGCTCGTCCGACGCATGCAGCGGTGGCATCCTGAAGGGAAGGTATCGGAAATGGGGGCGCTGCGTGATGCATCGTGATGCTCGTGGCTATCCTCACGCTTATGAACTGCATGGGCCTTTCGGAAGATTCTTACAACGCGCTGCTCTGGTGTGATACACCTATGTACCAGTTGCTCATCCCTCAGATCAGTTTGTCCAAGCAGCTTGAGATCGATGCGCACCGCATGGCCCAGAGCCTAGGGCCGATGGAAAGGACACGGTCGATCTGCTCGATCTGCTCGCCTGAGCGATCTCCTCGGCGTCGGAGGCCCAGGAAGTCTCCCTCCGCAAGGCCCTTCGACTTTGCCTTGGCTGCAATGGCTGGCAATGGCACTTTGTTACGGCCTAAAAAGGAGATTGAAATGAAGAATTGAAAAAAATTATGATTATAAGAGTCTTTCAAAGAAAGGAGCCCTTATATACCTTCATTATCTCTTGTAACAGAAGCGTAGTGTTCGAACAAAGTGAAAGGTAATGATGTCGCGGAATCATCCGGCCTTGGCATTCTTGACTCTAAAGCTCTATAACTGTCTGCAGTTGAAGAAAGAGCTCCAGACTTCAGCAGTTGCAACAAAAAGAACATCTTTGGAGGCCATCGCTACTAGGGTGGAGGCCATCGCAAGTAGGTTGGAGGCCATCGCTATTAGAAACAAAGAAAAAGAACATCTGAATGAAAATGCTCAGACACACTGGCTGTGTGAAGATGGAGGCTGCAGCTTGCGCGGTTGCCCTTGGTGTCAAGACATGCATTGTTTCTCGAAGCAGAGGAGAATCTGAACAAAAGTTTCATAAACATGTTAGCGTTCTTTAGATGGAGCCTAAAAGATATCTGACAACACTACCCCTGTTGTCTGCCCAGAAGGCATCCAAATGCGAAGTCTTTCAAGAGATGATACAAGAGAAGGTCCGACTGGGCCCCTTTTTTCATTTGGGTTCCCTTTAAAAGCGAACCTTGAAAAGGAGGGACCCAGTCAAATCTTCTTTTGTTTCCCTTCAAAAGAGCCTTTTTGAACGCTGTGAGACTTCACTTCAGCCCAGATTCATCAGCTCTGTAGCCGCCTGTGCTGGGATCACACCGGTCTCGTCCGCGAACATGCCTTGCTTCGCAGAGTCGACTGTTTTGTTTGAGCATGTCGGCACTAGTAGCGTCCTTGCTCCTACTAGTGATGCCAGGAGCCCCTAGTAGCTTCTTGTTCCTAGTAGTAAGGCCAGGAGCCCCTAGTAGCGTCCTTGCTCCTAGTAGTAAGGCCAGGAGCACCAGTGTAACAAAGAACGAAAGAAAGAAGCTGCAATAGCATCTGTCTGAAAGAAATGCTTTGACAATAGCATCTGAAAAGAAGCTGTACGGTTGCAACCGTACCAGAATCTTCTAAAGGCCAAGATACGAAAGACCAAATCCTTCCGCTGCTCGTCAGTGCCTTGCAGGCAAATGGACAGGTCCTGCACCCACTCCCGAGCAGAGACCGTGCCTCAGTCAGTCTCGGCCAAAAGCTTGGAGTGTGCAGGTGTGCTTGAAGCAGGACTTGACAATCTCAAAACGATCGAGTTCCTTGACTGGGCTTGTCCCTTCAGACTTTTGTCACTGCAGAGTTTCAGCTTGAAGCACGCTTTGGTTGCTCCATGGTGGTCTCACCTGAAATTGAACTTGATAGCCTCATGCTGGGTTACTTCAAAGACCCACGCAGCCTTCTAAACCTGCAAAGGCAAGCACATGCAGAAACCGTTACAGAGTCTGCCGAAAGACTGAAACTCTGCAGAAACCAGCCTGAGCATCATCTCCAGCGGCGGCCGCCCCAGCCACGGCGGCCCCAGCCACCACCGCCCCAGCCACGGCGGCCCCAGCCACCACCGCCCCAGCCACCGCCGCCCCAGCCACGGCGGCCCCCCCAGCCACGATGACCCCAGCCACGTCTGCGATATGGATTGCCATAGGGGGAAGGTCCAAAAGCGTCCTGAACGGGTGCCCAACGGTGCACTACTGGCTGCAATGGTATATATGGAGATGTGATTTCTTATAAAGCGACCCATGATGATATACACCTAACTTCGAGTCAGCCCCCAGCATCGAGATTGGCTGCTAGGAGGAAAGACTGAAGAGTTGCAATTGCAAATGCATGCCATATGACGGCAAAATACTGGTACTGTTTCGCTCGCATGGGCATCTCTCTAAAAGATTGGATGGAGTCACATCTCCGCATTTTCCAGTGTGACCAAAGGGCCGTTTAGTTCTGCAAGGACTCCTGGTGGCAACTCAAAACATGCTAGATCAACAAGAATGTTCGAACATTCAGCGTTTGGCTGGCCTCTGCCTTCTTGATCTGCAGAAGCTCAAGTGCTTCTTCAGGCCCGTCTTTCATCATGGCAACCTCGAAGAGGTCTACATCAGTCAGGTCTGGCTCCAGGCAGGCAGCAGTCTCCGAATGAACGTGCAGGAGCTGCACCAAGAGCAGCGCTAACTTCCACATGGCAAGATGAAAGTGGCCACAAGTAGTTTTGCTGCTTCAGCTTGGGGTTTCTAGCACCAGCAGCTCGAGCCAGGACATGCAAGCGACATGGCAGCAGCACCCGAGTTGGTTTCTCACCTAAACGTCTCGTTTCTCGTTTCCACGCACGTCTTGTTGACTCTTTGTCTGGCATGAATGACTTCCAGAGATGTACCGCGGTGCCTGTCTTGGCACGATCCATGGCAGCAGCCAGGCGATTGATCAGCTCGGCGGGCGCTGAGGGAAAGCACCTCGGAGGCAGTGGAGACCCAACCTAGTAGCGATGGCCTCCAACCTAATAGCGTTGTTGCTCCTAGTAGCCCAGATTCTGGCTCCTAGTAGCAAGGCCAGGAGCCCCTAGCAGTGTCCTTGCTCCTAGTAGCGATGGCCTTTGCTACTAGTAGCTTCTTGCTCCTAGTAGTATGGCCAGGAGCCCCTAGTAGCATCCTTGCTCCTAGTAGCGATGCCCCTTGTTCCTAGTAGTAGCAAGGCCAGGAGCCCCTAGTAGCGTCCTTGCTTCTAGTAACGATGCCCTTTGTTCCTAGTAGCTTCTTGCTCCCGATGCCCTTCGTTCCTAGTAGCTTCTTGCTCCTAGTAGTATGGCCAGGAGCCCCTA